CTCTCCAAAAGTTAGAAATGTGCTTGATGAAAACTCTATTATTGACTATTCCCTTAAGGGCAGAAGAATTCCGGATTTATAAGAAGGCATCTTTAAGAGAATTTTGAAATGTTCTTTTGTAACATAAGAAGTAATTTCGTATTCTTCTAAATAGTTAAAAAATCATAATAAAAATTATTATAATCATGATTTAGAGTTAACATCAGTCGTGTTTACTTTAAAGATCTGAATGTGCTATATATATGGAGTCAAGTGTAAAATGTTTAGTGCTCACTAAAGCTTAAAATATATTTTCTTGCAGAAGGAGTTGAATTTAAGATAAAGGCGACTACTAGAGCTTATTAAAGAAATATATTTGAATATAAATTATCACTCATGGAAAGTAAATGTAATGACATATGTGTTAAGTAAGAAGATAAGTAGCAGAGAAAATTGAGTAATTTCATAATAAGAAGAGCTAATTAATGATATAGAGCATTTGCAATTATTTGTAGTGACACCAAATGATGAAAGTCTCGCATTGTTGAATCAAATGCTCATGGAGTCAATTTTAAAGGACATAATAGGAGATGGTTTATCAGAGAATGTTGAATTCTATAAAGTATTAGACCAAGTAAATGCATGTCAAGTGGAAGAGTGTGAAATTGATAAAGAAAAATTGTTGACAAACAATAATATAATTTATATTGCATGAAGCACACTATTTAAGGTGCACGGTACATCTCGAAACTAATAAAATGTATCAAGAACTCAAAAACTTGTTCAAGTGACTTGGATTGAAGTGTAGTGTAGTGGACTTTCTAGCAAGAAATACCTTGTCAAATTGTTAAAGCCAAATATCAGAAGCCTAGTAGACAATTGCAACAAGTATCTATACCAAAATGGAAATGGAGGACCTTACAATGGATTTTTTTATTGAGCTTCCTAGATCAAAGCATGGACATGATATTTTAATGGGTGGTTAATGGTTGTCTCACCAAATTTGCACATCTCTTGCCTAATAGAAAAATGTTGTGGATAAGTTGGTCAGAATTTTTGTAGATGAAATTGTGTGATTGCATGAAGTTCAAAAGTCAATTATTTCAAATTGAGATAATAAATTCAAATAAAAACTGTGGAGAAAATTTCAAGTGGCTATGGGTACATAAATAATTTTGAGAACAACATTTCAACCTTAAATAAACGGGCAATTGAAAAAAAATTATCTATATATTAGAAGATTTGATTGAATGTTGAGTACTTTATTTTGGTAGATTGAAAATGAAAAAAACCTCTGATAGAGTTTACTTACAACAATAGCTTCCAAACCATTGTTGATATGGCTCTCTATGAAACCCTTTACAAAATAAAATACATGACACCCTTTTATCTGGGCAAAAAATAGTGAAGGAAAGATAATTTGTACTGAGTTAGTTAATGAAAACACCGAGCAATCTAATTGATTCATGATAGATTGAGAGTTATTCAAGATAGGTAGATAAATCATTATGTAGCTCAATACCAACCTATGAAGATTGAGTCATGAAAATTTATTTTTCTGAGGGTCATTCCTATGGAAGGTGTTAAATTATTGGAAAATCCTAATAAGTTGAGCCTATAGTATGTTGATTTGCATGAGATTCTAGAGAAGATTGAAAGCGTGACACATATGCATGAGGTAAATAATGTGTTCAATATCTCTTTACTATGAAAATATATTGTTGATGAGGCTAGTAAACTTGTCATGAACTCTATAAATATCTAACTTGATAAGACATTTGAAGAATAAAGTGAAAGCATTGTTGATTATGACATAAAGCAACTCAGTAGTGAAGAGATTTCTTATGTCTGTGTATTATAGAAGCATGACATAGAACAAGATGCCACTTTGGAGAAAGCATTAGAAGTGAGAGAAAGATATTTATCTGCAACTATGCAATTGATGTTTAAATTATGTCCTTTTATATGAAAATTTCGAGGACTAATTTTTAAAAGAAGAGGAGAGGTTGTATTAATAATTTTTTAAAATTTTAATTAATATAATTTAAAATTTTGAATTACTTGCTTAAGACACTTACACTACACATGTCGATAAAAAAAAAAACTTCCCACCGCTTGAGGGAGACATAATATGAAGATTATCCCCTTGTTTCCTCCCATTCAAACCAAATCACCAAACACACAAGCCAGTAGGAGAGAAGCTCAAGTCAGAGTGGTTAATAAGATGAAGTTGGAGCGAGTAGAAGATGAAGTCAGAGAGATTGAAGAAGGATAAAGGAGAAGGCTGCAATTATACATGCATAAGATCGCTCACATAGTCACATTGTGTAGTTTTGTGGCTCAATCATGAGCTTTCCTCACTCATTTGTGATTAGCTAGAAGGGAAGGAAAGGAAGATTAAGGGAGGAAAAAGGGAGGCTGCAATCGTTGGAGGAGGCGGGCACACAGGGGGCTTGTTTGGCTCACAGGGATGTATGACCAAGTGCCTCTAGCTTCAAACCTAATAAACATCATAACATCATGGAATAGTATGGTTTTGCAATTCTTACCCAGAAGCGCAGAGTTTTCGCACTCGCGAGTGGCTCGACCAAGCATATGTATGTTTGATGTGCAAGACAAGGTAAGAGTTTTGAAGGGTTTTGCAACTTTAGGTAAGAAATTTGAAACATAACGGTGAGATTTTGAAGTTTTACATTCCTAATGCTGCACAAATTTGTTCATATTTAATGTAAATCTAATTTTAGAAATTCCTAAATTTAGAAATTATTATTATTGAACAGAGGTTTTGATTCGAAAGCGCTAATCAATAAAGGACGAGAATTCACAAGTATGATTCTTTCTGCAACAATAATCATTTATTTTCAAAGTGTTAAATATATTAAGTGAAAATTTAAATTAAACTCGAAGAACTTGTAAAAGAAACTTAAAAGTTATAACTTGAATATTCATATATTTAGTTAAAACAAAAAATATATATAATATTGAGTTTAAAATGGGTAGACACGAAATTGAGTCAAGAATAAGTTTCTTGTTTCTAATTAATTCAAATTAGAAAATATAATAAAAACTAATTAAATCTAATGTATTATTATAAATACACTAAAGAATAAGTTGACCAAATAAATGACTGCAGACTGTGTTGAATAAGCCAGTAAATATTTTTTTATTTATAAATCAATTGAAGCTGTTTTTACTACTTGTAACAGTTTCTTTTAAAAAATGCAAGTTTCATGTTCTTTAAGTGTTTAATAAAACAAAAAAAAATAAAATATGATACATGTAATGCTTACTATATTTTTACAAAATATTTTTAAAATATGAATTAGTGTAATTTAGAAACATTTTATGCTTCGAGTAGTTCAACTTATACCTTTAGTTGCAAGTAATTGTTTAGAAAAACCTTGTTTAGAATAGTTGAATCCTAAAGAGTGTGTGTATAAACATCGAGGAGCTCAGGGAGACGGGTATAACATTTTAATTTTTATGTTCGTTCTAACTACGAAAGTTTAAATTTGAATGAACTAGTAAAAGTATATTTTTATGGAATAGAATGTCCCTTTTATATTTCGATAATCTTTGTTTAGCAAATAAAAATATTTAGATATTTTTTTTTTGTTTGACCGTATATTCCCATCTTAGTATTCCAAGGTCCCAGACTTAGTCGTGACATAATAAGATCAACCGCATGTGTACATTGAAGGAAAATAAGAAGTAACCGTATGATGTTATTAGGATGTTGTTCGATAACATTGTGTGTGCATTGACAAAAGGTAATAATAATTTTGAAAATAACAATATTTTTATTGTTATTTAGGGCTGTTGAATTTGATGTAAAATGAGTATAAAATAATTGAAAAGAAAAAATTATTAAAATATTGATTTTTGGTTTCAAATAAAAGGAGTACCAAAAAAAAAAAAAAAAGGAAAAAAGATTATATATATATATGCGCCACAAGCATTTGTTTGTCAGTTGTAAGTCACCTCTGGTCTGGGGTTCTATTCCCCTCATTGGAGGGTGTGGTACTCGAATTTATTAGGTGCATCGGGGATGACTTAGATTCGTATAATAGCCTCAAGCCATTCAATTTTAAAATTATTTATATATATATAAAGAGAGAGAGAGAGAGAGAGAGAGAGAGAGAGAGAGAGAGAGAGGCGATTTCAAGCTACATAATAGTTTATTTATGGTGTAATTCAAACGATTGAATTGATTGAGTTTCAAATACACTATATGTTAAACCATTACTAATTGTCATCATTATTACCGTTATGATTTGCTATCACCAAATATTATCATCTTCAATCAATGTTCCACATATTTATGAAATGTTTAGATTGAATTCATTTGAATCCAAAAAAATAATCTCTTACATTTTTATTCCTGTCATATTTCTAATATATATATAT